GAAATGAATTATTAAAACTATTACTTTTAGAAGTGTGTTGAAAAAATCGTCTCTCCGTGAACCAGAAATTGAGGAAAAATAAACAGGTGAGCTAATAATTCAGGGGGGCTAATAATTCTGACATCAACTGTATATAAAGCTGTGTATCATCTGCAAAGCAGTGATACATAAATCCAAACTTTCTCATTATGGTTCCTAAGGGCAGCATACATAACAAGAATAGCTGGCGTGCAAGAACCGATCCCTGTGAAACACCGCTAGTCAGCTCTGCATGAGAAGAAAGAAAGGTACCTAGGCTCATTGAAAAGCTTCTATTTGATAAGAAACTCGAACCAATTAAGGACTGTGTCTGAGATACCAAGTGCAGATTGGAATTGAGTTAGAAGTATTTTGTATTAAAAAAAAATCAAAGGCAGAGCTTAAGTCGAGCATCACTAAGGCCATTGTATCACCATTATCGGTAGTCATCATTATTTAAAGCCTTTAAAAGTGCAGATTCAGTACTATGCAGAGATTTGAATCCAGATTGAAAGACATCTGATATGGAATTATTGTATAAATAGTTTTGTAGCTGGATAGAGACAATTTTTTCAAGTATTTTAGATAACAATTAGAAATGGGTCGATAATTGTCAAGTATTTTTGGGTCGAGAGAGTTGTTCTTGACAAAACCAAAACACTGCTTTTGTCCATAGGAATAGTTTCCTTTCACTGCTTTCCTGTTTGTCATGAGTTACTAAATAGGATAAAGGGTTGCTTGACAATTTTACCCAATAAAAACAGTTAATTGTAAAAAAAAATAAAATAAAAATAAAAATAAATAAATAAACTAAAGCTGTATGTCATAATGACAATTACATCAAGGTGGATTTATACCACACAGAAGTACAGTAAAGTTGAAGTCAGAATTATTTGCCCCTTTTTGATTTTTTTTTTCTTTTTTAAATATTTCCCAAGTGATGTTTAATAGAGCAAGGACATTTCCACAGTATGTCTAATAATATTTTTTTTCTGGAAAAAGTCTTATTTGTTTTATTTCAGCTAAAATAAAAGCAGTTTAAAAAAAAAAACATTATAGGGTTAAAATTATTAGCCCCTTTAAGCTATTCTTCTGATAGTCTACAGAACAAACAATCGTTATAAAATAACTTGCTTAATTACCCTAACCTGCCTAGTTAACCTAATTAACCTAGTTAAGCATTTCAATCTCACTTAAGGCTGTATAGATGCGTCTTAAAAAATATCAAGTAAAATATTATTTACTGTCATCAGGGCAAAGATAAAATAAATCAGTTATTAGAGATGAGTTATTTAACATATTATGTTTAGAAATATGTTGAAAAAAGTCTCTGTTTAACAGAAATTGGAAAAAATACACAGGGGGGGCAAATAATTGAGGGGGTTTAATAATTCTGGCTTCAACTGTATTTATAGAACTTACTTTTTAATGATCACACAGATGTTATGATGTTTTTTTTTTTAATTTTTCAATGAAGATTTTACTTTATGTTTTGCTGAGGCTGCCTATTTTTATTATTTATTTTCTATTTTTTTGTATTTATTCTCTAAAATAAATACAGTTAATTCAATCAGTGTCGATTTTTATAATTTTTTTTGGTTTAATTTATTAATTAAATTATTATTTTTTTTTATTTATAAATAACAACTAAAATGTATTTTACATACTAATTCATTCCAACAAGTCCAACAATTCAGGTCCAACAACTGGACATGTTGTCATAATATGCATTTACGAAAGAAATATCTGAGAAACTCAAAGCAGCTTACGTAAAATGTATGTTAAAGGTTATTAACAAAACATACTCAAAACAAAGATGACAACTTGCTCCAACTTGCCAATTATGCAACATATAGTTTAACTAATAAACACATTAAAATGCCATAGGCATATTATTCAAAAACATTATTTAAAATCATAAAGGCTAATAGGAGAATGTTTTTTTTCAGTGATAATGAACGCATCTATACGAAAAGAGGAATAAAGGCTTGTCACGAGTTGTTTCCGCTGAATAATGCCCTTTGAAAGCAGATGAAAGCAGAGAAAATTGGGGAAATACTGAGAATGCAAAAACAGCACTGCATTGCGAATTGCACAGTGCATAGTTAATTGTAGATCAATAGAAAGTCTGAATAATTAAACAAAACACGGCCATATTGCACATGGTTTATAAATGTAAAGTAAACATGAGCGCGCATGCTGGCCACAATCACGTGCTCATTGTTATTCCCAAGAAAACAGACTCAAGTGAAGGATGCAAAATATAGCTAAAAACGGTGATGTCAGCGATTGTTGTCGTCAGGAGGAGTACAACATGCACAAAGCATCATTGTATACACAAATTATACAAATAAACAACAATCACGCTTGATGTAACAGTTATACGGAGTAAGTGGCTGCCAGTTACAAACAATACACGAATTCGGATGATAACGGTCACTTTAGAAACCTAAACACGCATATATAAAATGCCAGAACTAAACTGATATCCTGTATTTATGAAGTGATCGCGTCGATTATGTTTTGATATGAAGATTTAATGACGAAAACAGGTAACAGACTCACCACGGTGACAGGAGAAACCATCTTCGTCTAGGGTTGAACGGCCAGCGGAAATATGAACAGATCAGTCGTCGCTAACAGAGTGCACACGCTAATATTTACGTCCCTTTGTAAGTGACATTTGTTTTTCTCTTGTGTTTAGGACAGGCCATCATCAGTGGGAGGAGAGACATCAGCTGTATGTGGGAGGGGGCTGAGGCTGAAATCAAACCCCGTCCAATTGGATCGCACAGAAGTGTTTACAATGCGCGAGCCTCAGCAAACGTAGACCAGTGGGAGGGATTTACCTGCGAAATTTGCATGTACCGTGTTTATCATCAATAATAAAGGTTTCTTCTTTTTGTCACGTTTTAATATACTTCATATTATGCAACATTTATTTCGGATACGTAATGCGAGTTCGGTTAAACAAATAAAAAACTATATTTAGGTGAGCAAAGAGAGAAGACCCCTGTGCTGTTTTGTCTGGATCGACATCGACACCTTGTGGTAACATCAAAGAAAAACTATTGCGTCACTTCACTCTTTATTTTGGCACAGCTTGTATAATACAAAATCAATACAATTTACATATATTTATTACCACTTATATTTACCTACTAAATATTTATAAAGGAACAGGAAAAGTCGTGAGATAATCTAAGGGTATATTAGTTTCATTTATTTATTTATTTATTTTTTAAGTCAGAATTCTTTAGGCTATATATTATATCATTATATTACATGTAATTAGCCTATTTATTTTATAATATTATATATATTTGTTCTCTACAAGGCAGCACGGTGGTGCAGTGGGTAGCACAATCGCCCCAAAGCAAGAAGATCACTGGTACGAGCTCTGGCTGGGTCAGTTGGCACTTTTGTGTGGAGTTTGCATGTTCTCCCCATGTTTGCGTGGGTTTCCTCCAGGTAGAAAACCCACAAGTCTAAAAAACATGTACTATAGATGAATTGGGTGAGTTAAATTGGCTGTAGTGTATGTGTGTGAATGAGTATGTATGGATGTGTCCCAGTGATGGGTTGCAGCTAGAAGGGCATGCGTAAAACATATGCTGGATAAGTTGGTGGTTCAGTTACCTGTGGCGACCTCAGATTAATAAAGGGACTAAGCCGAAAAGAAAATGAATGAATGTTCTCTACAAATCTCTCATTTCTCTTTGTTTAACCTGTTACATTATATAAGGTACTTCAATTTCTGGTCTTAGTTTTTTTTGTGGCAAAACAACTTTGAAATATGTGTTCATTTTTTGCAAAATGAAGAAAAAATATATATTTCATACAATATGCCAATAGTAAGCCTACTAAGTAGATTGAAAGAAATGTTAAGAGAAAAAAAAACAGCCAGAGGAATAAAAATATATTAAAATGAAGACAAAAATTTTTATGATGCAACAGTTTGCTTGTCAATTTTGAATTTACCGATAATATTAGAGTTTCTGAGAGCTTTTTTTAGTTCACATTCATATAGCATACTGTTTTAACTCATTAATGAAATGAAAAAAAAGGTTTTCCACCGACCACTTCATTTTAAGGAAGATTATATGAAAGTTTACCATTATAAGTCAGTTGAATGATATAGGTTGTATCCTTTTCTATATTGTAATCATTCACACATAGATAATTAACTAGAATGGACCTTTTTTATTATTAATTCCAAGAAACTGTATAATACAGCTTAGAATACAGTACATAAGAACAGTTATTTTACACAATATTCAAATTTGTTGAACAGGATAAAGAGCAAAACAAAAAAGTACATAAAAAACATTAAAAAATGCAATAAAAATAAAAAATAAAAATTTAAGTAGCATGAAAGATCTCACCATATTTTCTCAAGAAAAAAGCCAATTTCTTATTATCAATTAATCTAAGTGATTTAATTAAGTTCTATTTCACATAATAAGTCTATAAAAATAAATAAATAAGGAACCTGTTTGTTAATGTAGGTTTCCCAGCAAGTATAACAGTGTTAACCAGAATGAACAACATGATTGACATATTGACATATATATATTGACATGATTGACATTTTGACATATATATATATATATATATATATATATATATATCAACAGTATAGGCCTATATATTATTACAAAAAAAACAGCCAAAGAAATAAAAATAAAATAGAATTAAAACAAAAATATAATTAAAGTACAGTTTACTTGTCAATTCTGATTTTACAGATAATATTAGAGATCCAGAAAGTTTTTTTGATTCACCATATGCTATGTTTGAATTCATCAGAAAAAAAATGCTTTTCCACACAACCACTTAATTTTTTGTAACGTTTTTATAAAAGTTTACCATTATAGCCATTAGTTGAATGAAATAACTCCATACTTTTCTATATCGTAATCACATATGTCATTAACCAGAATGAACCGCGTGTCTTAAACAACCGGAAATGACGAGCGAATGTGAACCGGATGACGTGGGATTGGTTGCTGTTTCCAGAACACACAAATATCACAAGAAGATTACCACAGTTCACGTTATTTTACAGCTTTTCTGTTTAACGTCGTTTAATGACAACTTGGGGAAACTGATTTTGTATCACCGAGCAAAAACGGAACGTAACTTTTTGTTTATTTATCGGGCGCGCTCCCCGTTGTTTAATGGTTTAAATGCACAACAGCTGATCAGAAATGACGGACAGAAGCTAAAGAGAGTTAGTTTACTCGATGCTGTCTTTTTAGCTTTCCTTTTCTTGCTCTATTAGTCGTTTAATATCGAAAGCTTATTTCCATATTGCATTTACGGACACAAAGGCTGCCTGAAATTTGTGTTTGTCGATTGGTCAGTGGTAGCTATTGCTATTAGCTAAGAAAGTGAACTGTGGACAGTGAAGGGTCATGGATTTCGACAGTGTGCTGTCTATCGCGTCCCAAAATCAAGGGCTGAGCAGCTTACCGGTATGTACAAGTAGAAAATTATGTAAAATATAAAAACATTGCAACATGTTACTCATGGAACTTGTACATGTTGCATGTTTAGGCTAATATAGAAACCTAATATCAAAAGTACTTTATTGTGACTTCATAAATAGAAATATGCATGTTTACATTGCCGTACTTTTTAATCCTGTTTTGCTCTTTTAGAAAAGGTATAGCTTAAAAACTGGCCCACCCAAGAAAGATCTCAAAGTGGGAGGAGTTAATTCGGCTGCTGTGCAGGCCTTCTTGAAAAAAAAGGCTGTGGAGCAAAAGAATAAAGGTATTTTTTTTATTTCAAATCTTGTTTAATTGTGTTTAACATTATCTTCTATGTTATTGCATGTTGTAAATTAGTAGAGTTTTTTTTTTCTTTTTTTACACAAGGAAATCAGTTTAGATTTAAAATAACGAATATAATAAAAGCCTCTGTTAAAAAAGCCTGCATTTTATGCCATGCTCATAGTATGTTAGCACCTGTAAAGCTACTGTAATCATGTAACTAAGGTAAAGTTGGTTTTATATTCACACAGTCAGACTTTCTCGTTAATAATACAATTTCAGAAAAATATTATTTGCAATTTCTTACTAGGTAAATCATATTAGCAACCAATGATTATCAAAGTACAACATTGTTAACAGTGATTTAAATAGTGCTAATGTTGTTTTGAAGTCATACTTGCATGCTAATTCAGACCTAATATTCAAAGTAGTATAGGTAAACACCATAGAGAACGTTAAATGAAGGAATGTGCGAATATAAAACTGACTTGACGTCAATATTAGTATACAGTCAATAAGTTAAATATAGCGAATTTTAAAGGGCACTTATTTTACCCCTTTAACAAGATGTAAGATAAGCCTTTAGTGTCTCCAGATTGTTTCTGTAAAGTTTCAGCTCAAAATACCCATCAGATTATTTATTAAAAAATTTAGGCCCAATCCCAATTCTATTTTTGTACTCCTACCCCTTCCCCTTGGCCCTTACAACCGAGGGTTAAGTGCAAGGGCTTCAAAATGTACCCCTAAGAATTGGGACAGCACTACAGCACCTGTACACGTCATCATATGTGCTTGCCATCTCCTGCTTCCCCTGTGAGATCAGACGATGGCAACTGCGGTAGTGATTCCAGTTGTGTTATTTTTTGGTATTTATCTTCAGCAGATCACTGAAGGCATATATTATGTTATTATAACGATCTAATGTGGTAATAAGATCGTAACTGTTTTGTGTATTCACACAGTGGCCGTATTCATCAATGTAAACGCACCAAAAACAACATTAACATTATAGCAGACACTGTTAAAAAGCCCATTGACAGCCACTAGACACTACTGACAAGGTATTCGAGTTTCAGAATACTGTAGGACTGCTTTACAGGAGTTATTTAATAGGGATTATAGATCGCAAAATTTTGCGTTTTTTTTTTTTTTTTTTTTTTTTTAAAAGCATGACGGTAAAACATGAACGCGTTTATGAATTTATTAAAACATGTGTTTGTCATAAAATTTCGTAATAATGACAAAAAAATACTAATTTGTGGATCTCCTCACTTCCGTGTTCAGCAATACTGCCGCTGTGGCTTTTGCATTCTGGTTTCAAGTGTGGTCCTGAAAAATCTTTGTTGGAAGGGCTATTCACCCCTTCCCCTTAGCCCTACGCCTTCAAGCTAAAGAGAATTGAGACACCCCTACCCCTTGGCGTGCACGCGCAAAACGAGGGGTAGGGATAAGGGGAAAGGCTAAGGGGTAGAATTGGGATTGGGCCTTAGTATACTGTCGCTGTTTTTATAGCCTGCGGCTTTAAAAAAAAAACTAATTACTTCTCCCCGCCCGCAGCATGTGTGTCTGCTTATCACAACGCAAGCGTGAGCAGGGCGTGTTTAATTCCGGCGTCCATGTTAATAGATTAGAACTTTTCATACTGCACGCAGAATGCAGTGCGAAGCGTGAGCGTCAATGAAGCTGTAGTGCTGCGATAGTTTTGCCATGGTGTCTATTTTTGCCGCGCTGCTCATGCTCATGCTCAATTAAAGTAACAGTGCATTTATGATGACCAAAAACACACTGAATGACTGCAAGAAGTACCCAAAAAATGCATCGATAATATCCGCGGATTTTTATGTATTCAGTCAAATGAACTTCAAGGATTAAAAACAAATATTTATTTGGGCCTGAACTACAAAACCAAATATTAAACAATTTTAGTTATTATTATTATTTATTATTATTATTATTATTTAGTTATTATATATTATTATTATTATTAAGTATTAGTTTTTCTTAGTAATGCCAAGTTCAGACTGCATTATTTTAGCCCCCATTTTTTGACTTGGCTACACGTTTTGAGAAATGCCTAAAATCACAGGCAAATTGGTGCTTGTTCACAAGAGTAACAATCACACAGTTAAACTATCAAAGATGTAATCTAAGAAAATCGTAGATGAGTCGCCGACGCCCGTGAGATATTTGGAAAGCTAAATATTTGGAGCTGTCTGTGATTCAAATCATACCATGTGAAATGTGCTCTGATTAAAAATAGCATCACCGATCACCTACAGCCAATGAGAGGGCAGCATTCAGTGCTGGGTACCTGCAGGCCAGCGGGAGGTTGGGGGAGAAGTTAAAAACACTCATTTTCAGTTTATTTGGCCCCTAGAAATTGAGGAAAAACTCCTGGAAGTTTGGCAGGAGCACCCTGTGTTTGACGTGTCATCTAAGCAATATGCAAAACAAAAAATAAAAAAGTTTAAGAGAATTTGCTCGTTTTAATGCCAGGTGAGCAAAATAAGTACATTTTCTATCCCACTAAAGGCTTCTTTCTCATTATGTAGTTAATAACAATATATTTATATATATACTTATGTGACCTCGCGCTGTTTCCATGCCTTCTCATGTATGTTTGGTTGTGAAACGTAGTTTTGACAGTTGTTGGTGATTCTTTCTATTTTAAAGTCTTGCAGTGTGAACAAAGCACAGACGGAACGCTAGCCCAGATAGTCATGCAGTGTGTACAATTGTCTTCTGACCAAGTGTGATGTAAATGACATGAATAAATGACATGAATGACACTCCTTAGAGTGTGAGAAGCATACAGCTCTTTAGGATCTATATAATTCGTAATATAAAGACTTGCAGGTTAAGAAAACGGCATAGGAGGAAGTTGCCACAACTCTTGGTGCATTTGAAAAGTAAAAAAAAAAAGTGTATTTATAGATAGATGGGTAACTAGATAGAATAGACAGAGATGGATTGATCTGTGCAACAGCTGCCGATAATCTGCGTGCTACAGATGCAGTCGGTGTGAAAAGCAAACATCTGCGTGCTGCTTCTGCTCTCAATATGCCCTGCTCATGCTCTGCTTGCAGTGTTTAATACGTTATTACGTTACGTTATACGGCATTACATCATGCATTACGTCAGATAAACAGCACAGTGACAGAGACAGACTCCGATGAAGCTGAAATAAAGCTCATTAGTCAAAAATACTTTGTAATTTTATTTTGTGTATAAATGGTAAAGTTTATTTTGTGTATAAATGGTAGAGAAGTCTTTCTGAAATGGTGAATCACACGCAAATGCTGTTTGCAGTACACGCGCGCGCACACACACACACACACACACACACACACACACACACACACACACACACACACACACACACACACACACACACACACACACACACACACACACACACACACACACACACACACACACACACACACACACACACACACACACACACACTCTCTTTTATGTGCGCCTTTACTGATACTATGTAGCCGTGGTGGTTATAGTTTTTAAGAATAACACAGTGATTTTACTGTCTTTATTACAAACATTCTTTGCTTTAAAAATGTTTTAGACGTATGATAATCACAAAGAGTTATTAAAAAATATCTTAATCCCACTTTATTTGCAAAAAAGAGTTTTGTGGACGTGTATACATGTTATTATAGAAACATGGTGCCTTTCAATCATTTCGGTTGTTGGAGAAAACCGTACTTCTGTCACATCGCGATGGGCCTTAAAATTACAGGGATTTAGTTTCTACTTTAACATCAGGCACTTAAAAAAAAGGACCTAATGTGTTTATATCACTCCAGTATGACAGTGGACACAATATACCTACACACAGTTTGGTCCAAACAGATTACAAAAGTTGATTTTCATCATAGGTGCCCTTTTAAATCTAAATTATTTTGCCAATAAATGAACATTTTAATTGTATGTTTAAAAGTCCCATTAAAATTAAAATAAAAAAAATGTAGATGTTAGTTTCAGTCTGTTTGAAAGAACATTTATATGTTGGTGTGCTCCAAAATAGTGACAACATTTGCAGTAGGGCATATAAAACCAGTATAATTAAGTAAAGCTTGCAGTTTGTCATTTCTGTCTAAACGGTTCAACGTTTTTTTTTTATTTTACATCATGATTCAGTTTGTCATTAAAGCTTGACCAATCAAATGCTCTATAGTGTCTGACATGTCCAGCCATGTCAGCTTCTCATTTGCTTTCATTTGATGCGCTTGAGCTAAACACCTCTCACTCTGGTAGAGCAGTGATTAAAAACAAAACGTTATTGGCTACTTTTTAAAAAGGGGAGGAGCTACTCCACGGCCCAAAGTGATTGTCTTTAGCTGCGTTCGAAACAGCCTACTCGGTAGATACTACGCTTGAATTAAAATGTGCTACTTGGCCGTTTGAAAAGTAAGTTCTATACAGTATGAAATGTAAGCAGTATGAGTGGAACTTAGATGTGCTGCATCCAACATTTTGTCATGATCATGTGACCTACTTGTGTGAGTTGCATCGCTTCTCTCTCATTCATGAATTATCTCTCGGAGCATCGTGGGATAACGTAGTGTCCATCCGATGCGCACTTCAGAATCTCGCCGGAATTAGTAGGTCATCTGACTACTTCTCACAAACTGTTTTTCGAATTCTATGAATTCGCACTTACCACTCGGCTCTCATACTGTTTTTAGCGTACTATATAGTATAAAAAAAAAAGTATGTGATTTTGGAAGCAGTCTTTGTTTCAGTTGAAATTATTTTAACAACGAATAAAGATGTACATTTCAACACACTTCATGGGACCTTTTTTTGTAACCTATAAGGTATAATAATAATAATAATAATAACAACACATTTTAATTTGAAAAACAGCAATGGCACATATGCCAGAAAGTTAAACTTGCATGATTTTTTTTGTTTTTTTTTACTCCTGTCTATTAAGGTCATATCTATATGGTGTATTTAAGAATTCCTGCACTGGCATTCATTGTCATCTATTGCTGTTGATGTCATAATTTGTTTTCTGTTTTTGATAAAGTAAAAAAAACATTCTATGTGATCCTTAGAACAACAGGATAAGAAAGCAAAAGAAGATCTGCTGGCTAAAAGAGTGGAGCTGAAATCAGATAGGAAGGCACGAGCAATGGCATCACGAACCAAGGACAATTTCAGAGGTTACAACGGCATCCCTGTCATAGACCAGCCTAAAAAGAGACAGTCAAAAGGAAGCAGTACGGAAGAGCAGCAGAGTTCAACAAAATATGAAGGTGGTGATTATGATGATGAGGATAATTTTGACTATGAGGGCACAGATTCTGAATCTGAACCAAGTAGGCCTGTTAAACCTCAGGCTATATCTCGGCCTGAGTACTCCAACCGAGTAGAAAACAAACCAAAAAAACTCAGTGCTCCAGCTAGGCCCGCCTCGTCGTCAATGAACTTTGCAGATCTACTAAAACTTGCAGAAAAAAAGCAGTTTGAACCTGTGGAATTAAAAGTAGTGAAGAAGACAGAAGAGAGGCTTAGAACAGCAGAGGAGATCCGCGAACTTGAAATGGAGCGCAGAGTTAAGAAACTGGATAAAGGGAAGGATGTCAGATCAGACAAGAATTCAGGACAGAAAGACAGCCGATCTCAAACCAGCTCAAATCCTCAAAAGAAGCATGTAGACAGAGATGGCAAAAATGGAAGATTTCCAAGGCCATCAGAGGAGAAGCACCAGTCAAGCAGTACCAGCAAAAAGCCAAAGCTTCAAGCATCTAGTGAAAGAACTCCAACTTCTGCCAAACTCCATGGAGACAGAAGCAACTCAGGCTCCTCAGGTGCCTTAAATAGTAAATCTGCCATGAAAAATGGCGCATCGTTTCAAGCGAAACAAGCACCACCCAGACCCTCACAAGGCCAAAGGCCCGCAACCTCAAGTGACCTTACCCCAAGGAAGGGGAATGTCTCATTAACTCAGGCGAAATCAAGTATTTCGGGAAGTTGTCCTCCTGGTGCAGCTAGACCAGGTCAAGGACCACATAAAAACTCAGCTCATGGAAGACCTAGTAATTTCAGTACCAGTGGACCTTCTCAGAAACCAGCAAATCCAGGGAAGTTATCGCGACCTGGGAGCAATGCTCCACCTCGGCCTGGTGGCAGTGGAGTGGTACGACCCTTCACTGGTGACCCCTCGAAGCAACCGAGACCAGGTGGTAATTTGCAAAGTCAGCAGTTTCCAGGAAGCTCCAGAGCTTCTTTAAATGGACCAAAGCGAATGGAACGTGGTGTTTCTGGGTCACAGATGAACAGGATGAGCTCTGGCCCCGGAAGATCCCAGTGCACTGTTGTTTCAGAGACCATTTCAACAAAGAACATTACACCGAGACCTGGGATGGTCCAAAGACCCCCAGGGCCACAAGGTCCCAGGACTGTGATTGGTCCCTCGGGCCACAGAATACTGGTCAAACCTTCTGGTAAGTAATATGAGAAGTGTTTCATGAACTTTTAATTTTAAGAGAGCTACAGACTCAACAAATTCCTTTAGTAGGAAAAAAGTTAGTAGTTCATATTTTTTTTCTCCCAACTTTACAATGTAAAAATGATCTTGTTAAATGACAGGGCATCTTTCTTATTCAAATATTATACAAAATTTTCAATTTCTAACTTTATAAACTTATCACTAAGGCCTTTTGTTTACACCTGATGTTATGCTTAAAAAAAGGATTTGATGTACTTAATTTTTGGTGAATATTGCAAGTTAAAGTACTTAACATTAATACTTAACATAATAATAAAAACATGTTTTTGGTGACTGAAATTACAGTCAGAAGTCACACACAAAAAACTGATTTTAGACATTTTTTTTCCTGCATCTCATAAGTGATATGTTCAAAGAGGGGAAGTGTTTATTTTTGTAAGCATTCTGTTTTTTTGTGAAGCCACAAATTATTTATTGCAGTTCATAAACATGAAAGAAGGCAGCAGAAAGTGATGAGAGCTTTCGTTTCTGCTCTGATAGCGGCAAAACCACACAATACTATGGGTTTGTGTTAGAAACAGTACACATAAGAGATCATACATTTTTTTACATGAATATTACACACTCAAAGCAAGTTTTCAATTATAGATGACGAAGTTTTTAAATCCCTTCTGTCTAATTTACTTCAACAACATGTCCCATGTTAGAGTGTTAAATATATTTAATTACATTTGTAAGTGGTTAAGCTCAAACATTTTGGAATAGAACTGAACTGTTGCATTGAATTTGCATAAGAACAACTTTGAGTGATTTCCACACACATTCGGTTTTATTAACAAGTCTGTTTGTCTTAGAAATACAATTAGTAATGGCATTATTTTCTAGTGTATACTACTGACATGTTTTCTAGATGCCTCTTTTATTTATTTATTTGTATTTTTTTAAAGGACCAGCATTGCCTCCTATAACATCCAGTTACAAACGGAAGTTCGAGGACGAAGAAGAGTACGACTCTGAGATGGATGACTTCATTGACGATGAAGGCGAAGACCAAGATGAAATTTCAAAACACATCAGGGAAATATTTGGCTATGACAAAAACAAGTGAGTCTTACAGAAGTATTTGATCGCAATGTGTTTTGACCTGTGCAAGGTTACAACTATTTATTGCCACATATTATGCAGATATTATATTATTCTAATCATGGATTCATTCTTCAAATGTCAAAATAAAAGATTTAGGCCTGAAGTCTGAAGTTTAATATGCGGTCCTGGCGCCATCTTGTGCATAGACAACGTCAATTGTCTTTGACTAATGGCGACTGACACGCTGTCTCTCAGAAATTATAAATAATTTAAAATAGCCACTATCCTTATAAATCAACTGCATAGTTGCAATCTAAACAGCTACATTCTCGACTAAAATAGCCTCAAAAGTACATTGTTGCCCAACAGCAGGAATATTTGTCAAACTGTAGAGCGTCCTCTGCTTCTATGTGGGCGTAGTAATACACAAAGATAAAGAGGCCTTTGTGTGCTGCTACTGGCACAGTATGTCACGGCTATCAGCCAATCATATTCAAGAGCCAGACAGAACTGTTGTATAAAAAAAAAAAATATATATATATATATATAAAAAATTATTATTATTAGTGTAAAGCTACGGTCAAACTGCACTTTTCTCCCCACAGACTTCCATTCATATGCACGTGAATGCAACAGAGCGATAACAC